TCTCTCTCTCTCTCTCTCTCTCTCTCCCTAAAATAAAAAACAGTAAAATAAATCCCTAAACAAACAGTAAAAAAAAAAAGAAAAAAAAGGTGTGCGCACCCGGCGCACCTGCGCCCCGCCAGCGCGCACCCCCCAGCGCACCGGCCCTGAGCGCAGCGCACTGCGCACCCGGGTACGCGCACACCTCGGGTCCGCCCAACGCACAGCGCACGGCGCACCGCGCAGCGCACAGGGTCGGTGCGCCGCAAGTATGCTTTAAAGTTTTTTTAAGTTTTTTATTATTTTTAAACTTTTTTTAACTTCTTTTTTTTTTTTTTTTTTTTTTTTAATTTGTCATCAGAAACTAGAAAAGAGAGGGTATAGGGTTATGCAAATTTCAAGTGGAGGGACACGTCTACAGTTCCAGTAATTAATGCGAATCAGGCAGTCAAAGATCCGAGAGGAACAGGCGAGTCGAGACCCATCCAATGCATCAGGGGGTGGAGCCTCGCCAGTCTGCCCAGAATGCATTTGACTGATGGATAAGGATTCACCACATCACCCAGAGTTAGCGATAGTTGAAAGACGTTTTTTTCCTTAGCCTTGAGCTTCTAAAGTTTCATGTTTCGTCAACTTGCGTGTGTGTTCAGGTATGGATTTGAGCTTCGAGGAAGAGAGGTTGTCATTGACGACATCCGAATCCGTGGCATAGGCCACACCAACATCCTCAAGTGAGTACTCGAGAATCTCCGCGAAGCCATCCTTTTCACAAAGTCGAAGGGAAAGTGTCCTTTGGGGACATCAATCAACTCCTGAGTCCAGGCTTTGTTTCCCCCCTTATGTTTCTATCAAACTCGTTTGCAGGCAGATTCTGTAGCACAGAAATGTATCTCAAGAAACGGATATTGAATTAGATCACACCGTAAACTGGCGATGTATAGATGTATCATGGGCATTCTCTTTTTCTTTTTTTTTTTCTTTTTTTTTTCTTTTTTTTTCTTTTTTTTTTAAACAGGTCCTTATGGCCCTGGCTCCATTTCCATTCTGGGGAGCATCAGTCCGGTTCTTATTCCACCGGCAAGTCAGGAAAAATAATTACATCATAGGACACCCTCATGCTTCCTTCCGTCTGGCCAAAGGAACCCTGATCAGCATTGATTGCTCCAATGTCGTGGAGGATTGACTTTCAGCTTGCCCTGCTTCCACCTTTCGTCTCAGGACTACTATAAGAACCTGTCAAATAAAACATGAATAGCAAGAAAGGTCTGAGAAGCTGCAACTGCTACCAATTCTGTCTAAACCCTAAACCCCACATATGAGCCTCGTGAAATCCCTGGCATTCTAACCCTTGCTTGTCTTGTTTCTGTCCAAAGCCTCAACCCTAAACCCTAAACCCTAAACAAGATTAATCTTTTTCCATCTGTTCCCTGTGAAACATCGGCCGCCGTCTGTCGTGCATGAATCTTGGATGCTTTTCTAGGCCCAGATTGGAGTTGGTTCCTCATGTACCTGGGTATTCTGCTGGAATACAGACTCGACAGAATTGTGCCACTTTGGCCATCTTAGAACGTGCCCATTTAGCCATGCCACTTTGTCACCTACCAACCAGATCCGCTTGAATTTGGCAAGTGTCACCTGTTCTGTCTCTGGGCTGTTCTGCACTCAGAGTTTAACCTTCCTCCAATGACAGAGGATTTCCGCTTCAGTCATCTCTTTGGTTGCTTCCCACACTTTCTCCCTTTGGTTCGCCATGCATCTCTCCTTCCATATGGCCCATAATGTGACCTTGCGTACCATCCCGAACCAGATTTTCTCTGATTGGATGAAGTTAAAGGGTAAATTAGTCCAGAGGAGCAGTTGAAGGGGGTGCTCTGGGAGGGGAGACGAGAATAGACTATCTCATAGTGCTGCTGCTCTTGCCCAATACTCTGTGGCTTCTTTACAGTTAATTAGGCAATGTATCCCATCTTCCTGTTCTTGATCTGAGCAGACTGCACATACATCAGAGCTGGTTGGATCGTTTTTTCTTCTTCTGACATGTAGCCATTGCTTAACCGGAAGAGCAACATATGCTATGAGCCACTCACTGCAAGCTTCTGATTTTTATCGGTCTTATCGTTTTATATTTCTTCCATGTTTTTTTTTCTATCTGGTCTGCCTCCGAACCAATTAACTTGCTTCATCTTCCTTTGATTGTCGGGTCTGGGTCCTTTGTTTTTAACAGCATCTTGTAACCCAACTTAACTGTATAATCATATATTGGAATTGGTGGTTTGGTCGTTCTATTTCAGTTGGGGGGCCATGCCCATTCGGAGGGATCAATTTCGAGGTCTTGAATTGCTGTCCCCATTTGAAATATATGTTTTGGCCAGAGGCCTTATGTTCTTGTTTTACGGAGTGTAAACGCATTCAATATTATTCTTTCAGGATTGATATTCTGAATGTACAGTTCATCTGGCTTGGTCATCAGGGTCGGGAAGGATGTGAAGACGTCTCGTGACCTGAACCTGATATTCGATGGGAAAACCGGTAGGCCCCTTCAGGAAAGGTGTCCTGGATTAGGATCCCCCACTCCGCGGCTTTCCACGTAAAATCCTCCTTTAGTAGCTCAGCCCAGCCCCCTGGAATGCTCTGTATTATCTTTTGTAGACTTTCATCTCTGTGGTGGGAGCCTTTCAGTCAAGTTTTAAGCTCATTTTCGTCCAACCAGTTCTTCCTTTCCTTGTCCCAGATGTCCCCTACTCGCCAGACACCGTGTTTGATCCATGACAGCCACATGTTGCCTCTGTGGGAGAGTGTCCACGGGTGGTCACCCTCGTCTCTGATTGAGGGGTTTCCAAAGAGAGGCTGCCTGAGCACTTCCTCTTTGGACCTGGGTTTGTTTCGTTTCCTGGGCATGATCTCTCTCCAGATATGTATAAGGGCTGTCCAATAGGGGATAGGTGTCTGGTTGTGAATTGGGGGAGCGCAAGTCCCACGTCTTCTCCTCCCTGTTTTTGGACTCCAGTCTTTGTTCATGACCCAAAACAGTCCGGACATGCTAGTGGGGGATTTCGTTGGGGCCAGATTCCTGATGCTATCTTGTGCTAGTTTGTTCCACGACAGTGTTGTCTAGTCAGTAGCTTAACGACCCACTTAATTTGCAGGGCTTTCGTTTCTTGTTTGGGCTTGATGATGCCTAGTCCCCCCTGTGTTGGTTTCCTTGTGATATAGTGCCATGCTATCTTTGGGATGCAGTTTTCTTTGTTGGGGTTCCCTGACCATAAGTAGGCTCTGGCTTTCTTGTTTAGCTCGTTGATGGTCTAGTCTGGTATTGTCCAAATGGAGGCTATGTACCACATCATTGAGAATACGGAGGTGTCAATGGTAAGTGCCCTACCCAGTAGTGATGTAAATGCTTGACTCCACTTCCCTATTTTTTTTATTTGACCGGCTAGGAGATTCTGAGCCATCTGGGGAGCAGGGCCATCCTTTGTTACGTGGATCCCCAAGTATCTCGTTGGTTCCTCCGGTATCTCCTAAGACATCTGATCCTCCGGTCCTTGAAGTTGTGGGATGGGTTCGTTGGATAACCACCACCCTACCATCTGTACCCAATTTATCTTCATTTCTGATGCCAGTCTGAACGCTTCCATTGCCCTTACTAAGGCTGCCATGGACTAGTTGGAAGCTCGTATCAACACTGTTAGATCATCTGCGAACATGATTACTGTAGGAACTATGAAGAGATGCGAGGAGCCAACATTCATTTCAGGCAATCTTTGGATAGAAGGGTCTTTACAGAGGAAGGAAGCTATAGCTTCCATGACAAATAGAAAGATAGGCGGTGCTAGCGGATCGCCTTGTCTTACCGATCTGGAGATTGGGTAGCCTTCGGCCAGCAAACCGTTGATCTGGACGCATCCGGAGGCGTTATTATTTAGGACTCCACCCATTTCCTGAAGTTGGGACCTACCCCCATTCTTTCCATACACGCATCGAAGAACTCCCAATTTACCTGATCGTAAGCCTTTTCAAAATCGAAGAAAATAATTGTTCTGCTGATTTTCTTCTCCATCAATTTCTTGGATGCCTCGTTGAGGGTCATTACATTGTCCAAGATATACCTACCTAGTATAAAACCCGACTGGTCTACGTGGGAGCATTTGTCAGTCACGTCCAATATGCGGAAGGCTAGGGCTTTGGCCAGTATTTTGTAGGGAAGTGTTAGAAGGGATATTGGTATGTAGTTTTTGATGTCTTCCCGGTCACCCTTCTTGTACAGACGTGTCACAACAATGGTGCTAAGGATTTCGCTCATACCCTATTTTTCCCAGCTATCATTGTAGAAATTTATAAGATCTGAGCCAGTAGGGGCCATAATTTCTCCCAAAATTCCTTTGTCAGTTCGTCGATGCCTGGGGTTTTATTATTGTTCATGATCTGGACTGCAAACTGTAGCCTTTCCATGGATAGCGGTTTATCCAGTTTGTTTGCTTGCTCATCAGATATTGTCCTGTCTAGGTATTGCAGCATTTTGGATCTGGCTGCTCGGACATTGGTAGGGGTGGTTGTTGGTGTTTTAGATTGATACAGTTCTTTGTAGAGGTTCTTTGCGACCTCTAACATCCCTTCACTTTCTGTGTGAGTTGCCTGTTTTGTTGACATCTTAAGACCCTCTATTGAGCTGGATCTGTTGTTTGCTTTTATTCTCGAAAAGAAATGCTTGGACATTTGTTCGTTTAATTCGAGGTCGGTCGTTCTGGCTCTGCTCTGGAGTCCTCTCAGTTCCCACTGACGCCACACCGCCAGTTCTTCTCTTGTCCTTTTTAATACTTCAGTGTACATTAGAGAGGAGGGATTGGTAGCTAGATTGTTTTCCTCTACTCAGAGGGTTGTTTCGAGCATCAATTTTCTGCATTTCCTGTCGTTGGCCATTTTTAGTGATATTCTAGTTGCTATTTCAGCCAGCTTGAGGTAGCTTTTTTGGAACCAGTCCCATCTGTCCTGACCTGTTATAAGGCTTCCTCTAAGATTATGCTAGATAGTCGACATCCCCTCTTGGAATTCTTGACTTAGTAGGAGAGAGTTAGGGCCTCGTTAGACCCTCCTTGAAAAATCCTCAGGAATTAGGACGAAGTCCTTGGAAAATTTCAAGGAATTCGGCGGCGTCGTTACACCGCGTCCTAAACGAAAGGGTCCCAAGGAAAAACCATGGAGGTGTCTCGCGGCCAATTTCATACGCATATACGAGGCCGCGGGGGAGGATGTCCGTCGTCGTCGAGGGACGTCCGTCTGTCGTCAGGCGTGGTCCACTGGCGGCGCAAGGAGGCCTGCGATGCTGCGCTGCGAAAAGAGGCGCGAAGGTTCCTTTTCGAAATTCGGATTTCAAACCGTCATGACATACGCACCGGCGCGCCGGGGCGTTACCACCCCTGGAGCTACCAGTGTGCGAAACGTGTGCGCGAACGATTTGCGGTGCCCATCGCTGTTGGCGACTCGTTCATCCGATCGTCAGTCCGCGCGGCACGAAAGGTGACGACGTTGGAGCGCGTGAAGTGGTGCGTGTCCCACTTTCCTCTTCCTGTAGACGACGACGATCCGATGGTTCGCCATAGCTTCGCGCGCCCGTCATTCGTGTACGAGGAGTTGACCTCGACCACTCCAACGTCCGCTGGGACAGTGTGCGACGAGGGTCCAGTCGTCCGTCTGTTGTGCGTGTTCAACAAGGCGCCGTCGGAGCATCGTGATG